AAGAGACAGTATATATATATATATATATATATTAGATTACCTCATAAACTATGAATATTTTAGTAATTTAAATGGGATAGGATGAGTATTAGGGTGGGTACGAGGACAAGGATGAAGCAGAGATGCACATATCTTTCATCGTTCTCATATCTAATTGAAAACATTAAGTATTACCCATACTCATATTCATTCAATGTAGGGATTCTCCATCAAAACGGGACAGGTTCGAACAATACCCATTGAATTGATTTATGACATCCCTAGTATTGAGGTCACACAACAGCAACAAAACTACATGTGGTATCCACACAAGAGGTCCAACATCAACATTATATAAAAACCCTCACATGTATCTTATCATCTAAACTAACTTACTCTTAGAGTCAAACCTGCTCTCCCTTTCTACTGCCATAGAGTCTTCGAACAAAGTCTACTTCCCCTACTCATCCATGAGTCTTATGGACGAAAACTCGTATAGTTACGTCAAGTCCACCACTCCCCACTACTTTCCCATAAAGACTTATATTTGGAGTCCACAAGGTCAACTCCTAGAGCCTCCTTACCTCGTGTTAAAACTCACATGCTTCTCACCCGAACATTACCACACATGCATGTATTTCATCTAAAACAACCCATATTCTAACTCATCATCATCATTTCAAACCATCCATATAAGATTAAAACCTTAATCCACACACAAACAATGTCTAATCCCCCACGTCTCACTTGGCAAGACCTACACAAAAAGCCAAAGTTTCCTAGCGAATCATTTTCTCACCTAATTAGAACAGCTCAGACTCACATGTTGCCTAAGGACACCAAACCCGCACACCACAAAAATCGAAATCGAGAGCCCTCTATTTCAATGTCACCTAGTGACAAAACAGTTTGACCCATAAATTTTTGTACCTATAACCACTCCAAAATGTAAACTTAATATTTTTATCTTATCCCCTTACTTCCTTTCAATGTTCTTACACTTAGTTATCATCATAACCATAAAATGTACTATAGTAGTCCCAAATACTAAAAAAAACATATCATAGGATTTAAACTTTTGTATTTATTTCATTCAATTCATAGTACACAACTACTCACAAATTTTCTTAATTGATTCAACTCCGCTTAATTTTTCATATTCCTAACTCATTTTCTTTCATCTGACTGAAAATAGTTAGTTTCAGTGCATCATAACAAGACCAATTGATCATCATTCATACTTAAGTTCACTATCATTACAATTATCGAAACATTTCAATCCTACACCAACCATCATGATTTTATATATCACCATATATATTCATACTACATGATATTAAATGTTTTGTTCGCAAAATATTGATCAATATTTCTTAAACAATTTTTATCCATAAAAAGAGCAAAATAAATTTAGTATAATATTATCATGAGATCTCAACTATCCATCATAAATAATAGTTTAGTAATATTTACAATATTCTCATGTTAAAACAGAATTTGTGTAACTTCTTTATACATTAGTTTTACTTAAGAACCATAATTTTATATAGCATACATACTTCAACTCAAATCTTGAAATTTTGCATAATATAACCTCTTACAATTATCAAAACTCTTAAAATTCATTTCCATTTATTATGAAAAAAACATTAATGTCACATCAATCACAAATGATCAAAATACCCTTTTAATCCTAAAATTAAACCAAATGTACAAATAACTATTTAAAAACCTACCAATACATCAAAATAATATTGCTCTCAAATTTGAAAAACCAAGAAGATAAACTTAAAAATAGATTAATCATACACAATTTATTTATCTAACCACCTATCTCTAATCAACAATCTCAATAGTCAAAGAACCAGATTTTATAAATCAATTATCAAAATATTAGTCTAATCAAACCGTGAGGAAAGAAAGAAAATTGATTTTATCAATATGTCTCAAACAAAAACAAAGTGATGCCAAACACCTTACTCCCTTCCATTTGCAACATGGCGCCTAATGCCATCCTACATTGCCAAATAATATTGTGACAATAACAAGTGTTCACTTCAACATATTTCCTAGGACTATGATATGTTAACTTTTTTTAATAACTTTTTGACAATAGATTATGTGTCACTATTTTACTGATGGACCATGATATTTTAAAAACTTTTTTTAACAACTTTTTGACAACAAACTATGTGTCACTATTTTATTGATTCATATATTTGAAATAGACCAATCACAAGTTACCAATTGACTGTTGTAAAAAAATTGTCACAAAAAATGATTAATTTTTTTTTCCTATTTTCTATTCATACATATATAAAGAGGAGGGTAATGTGTATTAGTAATGTTTGAAAATGATGATTTATATATACAAATAAAGAATAATTGATGTAAAATAGAAAGGAGGAGAAAAAATTAGTGTTGATATTAAATGCTTTTACTTAAATGTACTACGATTAAGTAATTAGCCATTGTATTTCCTTACTTTTACTTTACATGCACATCTAAGCATAAATTTGCACTTGTGGACAGTTAAACAAAACAAATATTTACTTTTTTGAATTGTTTCAATTACAAAACAAATCGTTAAAATTTTATTTTAATTTAATTTTAACATTCAATTTTAAATTAGTATATTAAAGCATTTTTAAAAGGGTTAAATATGTTTTTAGTCCCTAAACTATTGGCCGTTTCTGGTTTTCGTCCCTCTTCCAAAGTAAGGTACAATTTGGTCCTCATTCTTTAGAAAAACGTTCGTTTTAGTCCTCAAAATTTTGTTTTTAGTCCTCGTTTTAGTCCTCAAAACGTTCGTTTTTTCGACTAAAACGAACGTTTTTTAAAGATTGAGAACTAAATTGTACCTTACTTTGGAAGAGGGACGAAAACCAGAAACGACCAATAGTTTAGGGACTAAAAACATATTTAACCCTTTTTAAAATTAATATCAACTCACTAAATCTTTATTTTTTATAGTACTCTTTAATCATAAAAACAAAAGTATAATATTTTATTGGTTTAATTGCTTCCTTTGTCCCCAGTTTGGTTGAATTGTGTCAAATTCATCCTCATTTTTTAAAAAGTTTCATTGTCATCCTCACGTGGTGTAAAAGTTTCATTGTCATCCTCACGTGGTGTAAAAATGTCAATTGAATCCAAACATAGAAAAAATTTGTGTCAAAGTAGTCATTTTTCCTATATATCTGTGTCTTCCTTTCATACAATCAAGTACAGATATTCATTTTACCTTATCCAATTTAAGGCTTTTCATAGCTCCAGAGAAGTGACATATGAAAGGAAGACACAGAGATATAGGAAAAATGACTACTTTGACACAAATTTTTTCTATGTTTGGATTCAATTGACACTTTTATACCACGTGAGGACGACAATGAAACTTTTTTAAAAATGAGGATGAATTTGACACAATTCAACCAAACTGGGGACAAAGGAAGCAATTAAACCTATTTTATTTTATCTACTAGAAATTTTTTTTATGTACTGCATCCATATAATTTTCTTTTTAAATTCATTCGCTTTCACTTCTTCGTCTCCCAGATTAAACAACACCTCACTCCATTATCTGGCTCTTCCATTTACTCTACCCACAATTCTTCCATGACTCTTCCTTTAAAAAGACGAATATGTCCCCATGTATATCCAGAATGTTCTAGAGACTCCCTGATCTTTCTCTGTTTCTAAAATTTCTTAGAAAAACACACTAACTCTTCACAGTGCAAGTCATCACTGAATGTTTGGTGAAGAAACTCAACTTTGATAAGAGGGAACACAAGCAAGAGATTCTCAACATGTTCGGAGTAGTTTTCCCGAACCGGAGCTTCCCCATGGACATCTCAACCTTCGCCCAAATCGACACATTCCACTGGGTTCTCGACATGAACACTTTCGTAGGTAACATCAACCCTAAACTCAAAACCCCACCTTTATTTCTCACCCCGCAGCACATTACCCTTCAATTTTACTAACCCTCTAACGTGTGCAGGAGAGGCGTACGACCAGGTTCGCGACCTCTGCATCTTCCTCCTTAACGGCTTCACCCTACCGCCGGAGAAAGCGCTCGCCGTCTACATCCAGTCGCCAGGATCGCCCTTCGTCTTCTGCGGCGCCGTCACTGTGGCGCGCCCCTCTGCCGTCCTCACACTCTCGTGGCCGGAGCCCGGCGCTGGTGGGCCGCTGCAGCTGACGGCGGACGCGCAGCCGCTTTCTGCGAAGATCGGCGTGTCGGTGGAAGATCTGGCCACGTTGCCGTCGCTGGACGTGGCGGCAGAGAAGCGAATTGAAGGGTTGGCGATGAAGGTTGGAGAAAACCTGTTCAATTTCATGCAATCGTTTTGCGGTGTGGATGGGTCCAAGTTGGTTGTTCCCATGGATATCTTAGACCGGTGGTTCAAAAAGTTTCAAGAACGGGCCAAGCGTGACCCTGAATACTTGAAGGGTTTCGCTATGTAAGTCTAGAATGCCCTTTTTTGTTAATTAATTGTTTAAATTTGTAATGACAAAAAATATAGATGGAATACTATCTTGTATTGTGATTCTAGCTTTCATGTTTGATTTTTCTGGGAACTTGTGCTCACTTCATAATTTTGTTTAATGCACTGAGAGTTTTGATTGGAATTTGAACAATGTCTCACTGAAACATAGAATGCAGGTAAATGTGAGATGGAACCTTATTGTGATTTTTTCTTAATTCATGTCTGATAATAGTGCAGATTCACAGGTGCAAGGATAAGTTAAAATGTTCAGATGACATTGTTATGTTTGGAGTTGGATTCTTCATGACGTGTTGCTAGTTCTGTATACAGTGTTTAATTTCATGTTTCAGATGTGAGTTCTAGAAGTTAAGGTTATAATTTTTGCTTTCACCTTATTCTTAATATGATAGCAAACGGGTCATGCATTGTTTTCTGATCTGATCATCATGGTTTGAATGGTGAAAGCAACTCGGGTTCAAGAAATTGCAGAACAAAGAAGTTGCAGCATTAATTTTTTATTTGGTGAAAAAGAAATCGCTTGAATAATTAGTTGTAATAATTGGTAGGATTTTTATTGAAATGATGCTAGAAATGCACTGAAAAGCACACCAGAGTAATTAGATGATTCTATCCCAGTTTTGTTCTGCACTTGATAAGGGATGAGTTTTGCCAAGGGTTGTCTTGTCTCCTGTTGGCCATGCCCATAATTCTTTTAGCTTATAGCATAGAAATGGTCCTATTCTTCTATTTTAAGAGAATCTTAGAAAATTTAGGTACATTCTTATTTTAATTTTTGTTAAATTACCTGTTTTTAAATTAAGAAATAAAGACAATTTATTTTATTAGTTTGTATTTGAAATATTTTATTTATTTATATGTAATAAATTTTAGGATAATATTATTTATTAGTGGTAATTGTTTCTTTGTGAAAAGAGATAAATGTCACTGTTTAAGACTAGCAAACGTTTCAGGGTGGCCCAAACCCATTAAGATTTTTTGTGCAACCATGAAAAAGCCCAATAGCCTCTTATAGGGCCTACTCATTCACATAATAATGACATGAGTGTTTCATCCTACACCTCCAAGATCTCATCCTGCACCTCCAAAAATTCCACTTTTAACCTTCTGACATTTCATCATTATCCTACACATTTAACTTTATAGAAAATTTTATTTTTAATTTTAATAAATATATTTTTATTTTCTTCTTTTTCTTGTTAAAAAGACTCTATATCACCTTAATAATAACTAAATTTAAAATTCAAATATTATTTAATATAATTTTATATTTTAATAATTATTAAAATATAATTTATGTTATAATAATAATTATATTAAAAATAAAATAATAAAATAATAAAAAATAAAAATAATAACAAAAAAGTAAATTATACTAAATAAAATATTTAATATACTTAAATATATTAAATTATATTAAAATATTAAATTAAATTAAATAATTATTAAAATTTAAATAATAAACAAAGTTTTAAAACAGTTATTTATCAAATAACAAATAAAATTATATTAAATAAAATATTTAAATATACTAAATTATATTAAAATATTAAATTAAATTAAATAATTATTAAAATTTATATATAAAATAAAATTTTAAAAAC